TGGAAGCATGCTACCGAGACAATGAGCTGAAGAAGAAAAGAAAGTATGAGCAAAGGGTGAGGGAAGTAGAGCATTCCTCCTTCACTCCCCTTATTTTCTCCACCTCGGGCGGCTGTAGCTCCCTCACCACTTCCTTCCTCAAGAGACTCTCTCTCCTCTACACTGACAAATTTAACAGACCCTACCACTCAACAATGAATTTCATTCGCTGCCAATATTCATTCACTATCCTTCGGTCTGCAATTCGCTGTATAAGGGGTACCCAGCATTGTGGCAAAGTAGTTGACTATTCAGATTTTGACAGAGCGGCCTCTGATGCCCACATTGGTATTTCTTAGATTTATTCCTTTTTTTAATTTTTATTTTATTATTATTATCATTATCATTATCATTATTATTATCAATATTATTATTATTATTATTATTATTATTATTATTACTATTATTATTATTATTTTTCCTTATCACTTTGTGTATCTTTCTTTACCTTAACCAATCTTTAACCTGTTCTTTGTTTTCTTCCTTATATTCCTTTCCTTAACCTACATGTTTATTTCTACCTTTTTCATAATAAATTTTTTGAGGGCTCTGTTCCCTTTTCAAATGGGCTATAGCCTTGGGTATTTTTCAAAATTTTGGCATTTCTTAAAATGGCTGTAACTCAAAAAATTAAAGTCGGAATAAGCTCAAACTTTCTACACAGCATAAGGATGTCAATATGTATCAGAAAATGTAATAAAATTTTGGGGTGATTTTGGAGCCATTTTTTGGAAAAAACCATGGGCTATAATACATGGTTAATACTATGAGTATGACTTATTTAGTTCAGAGGTTATCCATTGCTGTCCAGAGGGGTAATGCGGCTCTCGTAATGGACACTTTTTTGCCATTCTCCTCTGACTCTATTCTATTTTGAATTTATTATTTCATCTACATGTCAAACATTCTTCATGTGTTCATATTTTATTACATTATTATTATTATTATTATTGATTTCTCTCTTCTGTCCTTTTCTTTCCTTTCCCTTCTTATTCTCTTCCTCTACTCTATTAACTAACCTGTCCTACTCTATCAAATTATTCTCTTACTTTATTGTAATATTATCATTACTAATTATCATATAATAAATTATTATTATTATTATTTATTTATTGATTTATTTATAATGCTCAGGAAACTATTGAAGAGCTTAGAGAGAGTCTAAGAGAAGAGAAACAATTATTAAAGACTTTAATAGAAAAAAATAAAGACAAAGAGTGTATCAAGTAAGTATATGTATACACACACATCATTATGATCCACTAATAGCTTTATATCTTATATATTGTGTGGAATTGTAATCCGCCAGCAACTTTAAAATAATTATTTTAGTCATTTTGGCCTTGCCAGTGATTAGCGTAGGCCAAGGATATGTACATGTAGTTACTTTGTTTTTAATTAAATTATTTTATTTATTTTTTATTTTATTATTATAGATATGAGTTTAAACTACAAAAGAAGACTCTACCAGTTCATTTCAATGAATCCTCAACAGTTGATAATGTACAAGGATGTATCCTCTTAACATACCATGTACATGTACATCAATATGTATCAGTAAAACATTGGAGTGATTTCAGAGCCTAAATAAAATCCCTAATTTCACAGTTGCATATAATACATGTAAACCATAAACCTCACCAAAGTAGATCCACACTATACAGTATTACATTGAACTATGGTATGATTACATTAGCATATTGTACATGTACTAGCTTATTGTATTATAAATATTATTATTATTCTCTTATTCCTTAACTCGAAATGGTTGCCAGTTATGAGGAGAGATGATGGAGAGATTGAGTCCTTTTCATTTGATATTAGTAAATGTGATCATGTGGATATAGCTAACTCACTGTGGGGACTATCAACAAATGGAACTACTAACTAGTGAAACTAAACAAAATTAAATAAAAGTCTATATAAAATCATTTAAAAGTATTATAACGAGTAAGTTTTGCATGATTGCAATTACAAAAATAAAAAATAATATGACGCTTGAGAAATTAAACCAATCCATTCAGTCAATTCTTGTTATGTCTGGAGCGTTGAATTAGCAGTGAGAATGTGTTAAATACACTGGATAAAATAAAATGATTAGCACAAACCGTTGGCAATCACTCCAAACACAAACAAAATAAAGAAGAGAAGGAACAGAGCCAGAAGGGACCAAGAACAGAACAAAGAACAAAAGAACAAGAA